GTATTGTTTAACTATATCACAAAATTTTACTAGAATAACCCTGTTGTGTAACTAATAAAAAGTATTTTTTGTACAATTTTACTAATAAAACAACTTTATTTTTAACTCTAATTTTAATCTTAATATTAATATTAACTTTATTTATTTATACAATAAAGAATACACTTAGTGCAAAAATGCACTTTTTAGTTTTTTCTCAAAATTTTATATTGTACTATATTTTGTTATTTAAATTTAAGCTAAAAATCAATTTATCAAAATAATTTTTTTGTTACTATAATTTTTTTAAATTTATATATTTATAGATTATAGACAACTCGAACTTTTTTTATAATATAAAATTTTACTGCTATTTTCTAATTATTATTTCAAATATTATCAACAAAAAAACTGTTTAAATAGTTTGATTTTTTAAAATCAAAAGCGAATTAATTTTCCAGACCAATTTGCCTAGAATAGCTTACAGATTAAAGGATAATTATATATAATAGTAATCACATCACTATTTTTGAACTTCAGTAAATCCAGGAAAACATTCTTCTAGCTTTTTGCTATGTTTGTTCTCTGCATGTTCTGCCAATCTAAAAGAAATATAACTATATTTAAATATATTTTTTGTTATATACAAAATTCCATTAAAACTTACGCTTTTTGTCTCACTGTGCACAAAAAGGTATTTCGACAAACTTGGCATATAACAGTTTTTGCAGCTTCGTTCTGTTAGTAAAAAAAAAAATAAAAGATATAGTTTAGATTGTATATACCAAAACATTATAAGCCAAAGTCCTGAAAATGCTAAGACCGAAAAGCAAACAGATCTACTTTTGTGTTGTCATCAAATCAATAGAACAGACCTACACTAATGTTTCAAATGAAAAAAAAGCAAGAATTTAAGCTATTAAAAGAAAACGCAAGCATAAAGTATATAACTTACCGTTTTAAGTTGACTAGCGGCAGTTTTGTGAGCTGAAGCCTTAGCCCTCTCTCGCTTGTGTTGAGCCTTTTGACCCTAGAATGAAAATTAAATTAAATAATTAACAAAAAATAAAATAAATCGAAAAGAAAATTACAAACATACATTTCCCATCATGAAATTTTAGAGCTCTAAGAAATGAAACGTGAAATTTAACGTAAATCTGAATGAGATCACGAGAGTAGTAACGTGACAACATTCTTTCACGATGTATATATATAGTATCCCCGCGAAAATGCGAAAAATTTTATTATCAGAACAAAATACACATTATTATTACTTTACAAAAGAATCAGTCAGTGATGCTATAAAGTATCGTGGAAATTCGGGAGCCTTCAAGGCGATTAAATCATTTGATAAGTTTGATACAATTTATTTATAACTTGACTAATTATTAGAGATGAGTTAAAAGGCTTGAGGCAAGTATTACCTCTTTAACACACTCTAATATCAGTATTGTTATGAAAATGCACGATAAAAAAAATATGTATATAAGATATATATATATAATCTGATTTTTTCTCCCGAAGTGTCCTTTACAAAAAGAGGTAAGAAAAAGCTTTACAAAAAAAAAAAAAAAAAAAAAAAGGGAATAAAAATTTAGACAAAAAATTTTTTTTTTTTAAATCGATATCAACATTGTAGAAAAAAAATGACAAGGAAGTCAATTTAAGACTACAAATAATATAATATAAAGTCTACTACTACGAGTATAACAATTTTAAGACATATATTGTTTATATGCCATAATATGAAAATACATGGTTCTTTTAGTTGTCTAAAAGCCAATTCACTTTAAATCATCAAACTAGAACATTGCAGATTTTCTTCTATCAGCAGCCGATTTGCTTCGTCTTTCAGCAGCGGCCGCGTATAGCTTATTTACAGCTTTTCGACGAATGCGAGTGGCAAAGTTTTTGGCTATGTCAGGTCCTTTAGGTTGACGAATCGGAAGAACTGCGTCAGAATGCACTTTCGTAGGCCCTCCTAACACGCTATAATTAATGAATAA